TAGTTCTTCCCTTTAAAATCCAAAACTGATTTTTATTTATTTATTATCCTAATTTTGAAAGTTTAGATTTTCCTAAATATACTACATATAGCGTAAAATCTAATTACATGCATAACTACTGGCTACCTATCCTTGTACCGTATCTTGTTTTGGTGTGGTCACACCAAGCACATCTTGTGTGACACACACACCTGTTACCAGGGTACGTGTACCCTCGTTACAGTGCGAGCCTTCAGTTATAGAAGAGCAAAACGAGACCTCCAACGTCGCTCCTTGAGTTGTTGCTGACACCTCAGGTCACCACTTCTCAGGAGAACCGCCTGCACCTAAGGTATCAACAGTTGGACCACTCTCTTTTTCATACTGAATGCTGGTAAAGATTTTCGCACTTAATCAATCAAAATGTCTAATATAAAAGTTTTGTATTTAGATATAGGAATTGTGTTACGGACCATTACGAAATACAGTACCACCTCACAATTGCACCAAAGTCCAAGTGTCATGCGCACAAACACCATCTAACCGTACGTAACAATTCCTTACAGATTTGGGTAGAGACGAAATGTCCACCTTGTATGTTATCGAATCCTTGATAGCACGATCCAAACCAGAATATGTCTATCGGGCCCTACCGAGCCTTCAACACTTAAGTAGCCTGAGTCAGCTTAATTTTTCAATTTCTTCTATCTACCCTCCTAATGATCTTATGACTTACACACTGACTGCCCAGCTATTTCCTGTCGCTCTAGCTTTGACCTGAGACTGGACTTCTTCTTCCTTTCTCCATTTTTCTTCCTCTAGTCGCTTCATTCGCTCCTGTTCTAGTTTAAATTGCGCCAATTCAGCGGTGGCTTCTGGGTGAAAATGGCACACGTCTTCAAAAATGAGACGTCGTAGTGTGTCCTTGTCCAAATTGCCCTTGTTCTCTCGCTCAAATGAAAAGTCAAATGCACTCTCAGCCAGCCGTTCCGAGCCCATGTCAGCTCCATCCACACGACACGATGCGAGGAATGGATGAGCAATGGCATCGTCAACTGAGATTCGCTTACGAGGGTCAAACTGCAGCAATTTCGTCATGAGGTCCAAGGCCTCCGTTGGAGCATTTGGGCACACTGTGTTCAAAGGCTTGGCCTCCTGCTGCTGCTGACGCGCCATCCACCGTTTGGCCTTAATATTCGTGATAAACTCCATGCCATCCTCAGCTGACGGACTTCCCACGAGTTGTAAGATTAAATGAAGTTGATGCACATGATCATGCCCTGGAAACAGCGCTTTACGTGTAAACATTTCAGCCAGAATACACCCAACTGCCCAAAGATCAATCGAAGTAGAGTACCGACTAGCAAGCAGAAGCTCTGGCGCTCGATACCAGCGAGTCACGACGTATTCTGTCAGTGCTTCGTCAATTGCAGGTTCTCCATCTTGACTACTTGGCGTCCTAGTCCCGTCGATACTATTAGGAGTGACAGGGTGCATGTCAATTCCTCGTGCAAGTCCAAAATCGCAAAGCTTGACAAGACAATCACGATTTATCAGCACATTTGATGGCTTCACATCACGATGAATTATATGAGCTGAGTGAACGTAGCGTAGTCCACATAGCAACTGGTACGTGATATAAGCAATGTGATCGCTAGAAAGTGCCTCTGGAGAGTTAATTACGCGATGTAAATCAGTCTCCATGAGGTCAGTCACAATGTATGTGTCTTCAAACGTGGCAAGCAAAGGAGGGCGCACGACGTCTAAAACGGAGACAACATGTGGATGGACCAAATGTCTCATGAGCCGAATCTCACGCACAATCCGCTTTGCATCGACAAGGTCGTCAAAAGTACGAGGGATATTTTTGATTGCTACTGAATTTCCAGTGACTTGGTCGCTTGCGGCAATGACTACTCCATAAGCCCCGTGTCCAATGGCACGAATTAACTGGTACCTTTTGTAAACGCGAAACTTGGTGGACGCAACTGTGAAAGTATACATCTCTTCTTCTTCTGAAGACGAATGCTTGTCCTGCTTCTCTGACAAATCGGCTTCATTAAGCTCTAGACCACCTGAAGCATCACTTGCTGTGAAAGAATACCGCTCCACACCCCGCCGATTCTGACTCGTTTCCTTGTGCAGCTCCTGCAATCGATCAAAACTCTTGCGATGTCGTGGTGTTTGCAAACCTTGAGCCGAGGTACTTCCATCTGTAGAATTGACAGATCGATCTCCGTCATCACTCATATTCACGTCGTACTCCTCGCCCATTGAATCATCTTCCTCTGTAAACGGAGAGAAGCTGATACTAAGCTCCACCCGCCCACAACTTTCACGATCACCACTTCGGCTTCCTTTTTCGAAAACTTCTGCTCGAAAAAGATCAAACCACTTTGGCACAGCAACTGTCGCAATATGCTCTTCTGTACCTTCCGAGGAGCCTAAATAGTCAGCCAAATTGACTTTAGCACAGCCAATTAACTCATCACCAATAACTCCAAGACTCCACACATCAATGCATAAGCTCGCAATTGAGCCCGGAACAGCCCCAGAAAACTCGAGATGCAACGTCTCGGCCCAAAATGGGCCTTTACCTCCAACGCATTTTACAACGCGTGTCGAGTACGACTTTCGCGAGCCAACACGATTCAATCCATCCGTGCTCGTCGTTGTGACGTCTCTGCTGCTCGCGCTTCCGCTATTATTTTTTGATCCTGGGGCTTTCATTGTAAGGTGTGGAAACTCGTTCAGTCCAATGACTATTCTGTAGCCATTACCTCCACTTGTCGTGGGCTTTCGTCTTTTAAGTTGCTCACCAGCAATACAAACCACACGAATTTCACCAGGTGGACACGTGTTGGTCTGCCGTTCGCGCTCGCGAGGGAGAGCAGCCAAAGTTGTTCTTACAGAATCTCTAATTCCTGGGCTTGTACCACTTCCTCCACCATCGGCAAAAGCGACAGCAGCTGCCGTTTTATCTGCTAGTATATTGATATGACTGATTCTTCCATCCGCTTCGAATCGCAATTCGTGTTTCCACAAATGTCGAAACCTTCTTCCACTCTCAGCATTTCGTATCGTTTCTCGACCAGACACAACCGCTAAATCTCCTCTTCTTGCCACATGTTCTACCTCATAGTTGGACACATCCATGGAGCTATGAAACTTAGAAAAAAAAGCGAGCACTCCACTAAGTCCGTGATACTCACCTGCAATCGGAACGCTAGGAGGATAATTTGATGTCAGCGTAACATTAGGGTGAAAACTTGGCATTAGCAGCGCAAAGTTGCCTCGTCGTGCTTGAATACGTCCCCACGTCTCGTAAAATATACTAAGCTCTACATTCACAGCCGTTCCCAATAATGTCAGTGGCTGTGATCTCAACTTTCTTGATGAAGATACTAAACCGCCAGCTATTGTCTTTCTAGGTGAAATATTGTTAATCTTCAACTCCGCTGCTTTGAGTCTTCGTTGAGCTTTTGGCAAAACTTTTTGTACTTGATCCACTACAGCTCCAAGCAAATGAATCCACAACACTCGCTCCAACTCCGATGCTACTGCAAGGTGCAAAAGCTTAGTCTTTTCCTTCGTTTTGACGTACAAACCATGTGGACGCCCAACATTTTCCTTATCTACACCTGCAACTGTATATTTATGCCTTTTGTCAATACTATTGCCTTCCTGCAACTCCATCTCCAGCACATCTATATAGCGTGTCCTAGACTCAAACACACGTAACGTCACGCCATCTAGACTCAAGTACACGTCATCCCATCGCGGTAGCCAGTCACCTTTCTTGAGTGCAGGTCCATCCCAATGAATTGGAATAAGTTGCATCAGCAGATTGGCGCTCACAGTGTCCGAGAGTGATGAGGACGAAGTCAGCGCGCGTTTATGGCGACGTTCGCGAGGCTGCTGAGGGTCTAAGTGTGGTGGAATTGAAGCAGGAGGAGGTGGAGGAGTCGAACTAGCGCCTGATGAAGCGAATGAAGTCTCCCATTTGAGCAGAGATGCAGCAGAAGTCTCCATCGAGCTCGCCAAGTGCGTCACCAACGTAAACTTGTACACCAGTTTCGAGAGTGATTTATTCTTGAGGTCACTAACTTTTCTCATTTTACTGACGTTCTATGTCGCAAGAGTTTACTGAATGTTTCAAATGTAGCCATGTCTTACAAGTTGCTGTACACGAGACCGAACATAAAAAGAATTGAGAGAGTAGCTGTGCCTGCAATGATCTTGTCTGAATACTGCAGACAATACAGCACAACGTCTCCAATGAGCTTTGAGTCAAAATGACGTGGTTTTAAACGTATGGGGAGAGGGGCGTCCGCAGCAGCACAGATCATCACCACAGCGCGTAGTGTTAATCCCCACAGCACGAAATCGTGCATATCTCGAGGAAGACACTCTTCATCAGGTGGTGAACGATTTGGTCGTGGCAAATAGATACAGTCGAACAACATGTTACCGAGAACTTTCTTGATCATAGCTAGAACCCGCGGATGTAGGCGAAGAGAGAGTAGAGCGTCTTCTATTGGGTACGAGAGTACATTATACCGCTGAGGGTTGTACAACTCTTGCACATCAACCCAAAAGACGTCGGCAATCTCCGATGTCTGCACTTTTGGCTTGTAATTGTGTTCGTCAGCTGCTGTATCAATAAAGTAGACTAATAGAGCAGATTGAGAGCTATTGATAGTTGTGATATAGCCACTTTCCCACCTTGCGTGCTGACACTTAACGGTATTAGTTGCGATTCAATCGGTGACAAGTTACCGATCCAGTGCACGTGCCTTATGTATGAGGATCAGCAAGTCAATGGCACATAAAAACCACAAATAATAAATCATTGCAACAACATACTTTGTCGTCAAATCCAGTCCAACTTCCTCAAAAGTCTCGCGCTGTGCCGTCTCACGAAGCGACTCCCAGTCGTCTGTCCTCTCATCTGAGACGCTATCTGGCAATTTCAAGTCCATTTGTGTCTTCTTTTGTCGTCGTCCGCCTGGAAATGCGATCTGACCGCTCCAAATATCGTTTTTATTTACGCTACGACGTACAAATAGCAATTCGAGCGACTGTTGCTCTGTTTCTTTCCATCGAAATACAGCGGCCACGCTCGCGCGCTACGTATAGGCTCATCATCAGCTTCATAAGAAGTGGCACACAAATTATATTTACGCACCACAAAGGGTGCATTATGGCGCAAAGGTGGTTCTTTGATCAAGCTGCGCTTGAGTCTCGGCACGAGAGACGTGATGACGCTCTGCTCCACAAACCTTCGCATCTTGATGGGTTAACTTAGGGGAAAGTTGTGTATGATAGAGTAATCGTGGCTAGGGCTGAAAATATGAAAACACGACAACTTCAATTTTTACAAGCGTAATCGCTAGATTACTTCTTTACTTTGAGGTGGTTGACAAGCACCACTGAGCACAATCACGAGACAATGTCCTCTTCCGTCTCTACAAAACTACTAATCAACACCTGAGCACGCTAATTCCGTACTCTTAACTTTTTGCTACAAGTTTTGACAATATACATGCACAAAGCAACGAACATGCTGCACGTTTTTTTGGACAGTAATTACGATTACCCTTGCAAAACCTGATACCCTGCGTCGCATCATCTCATTACTACTGTACATAGAATCAAACTACCTTCTTCTTTTCATATCCTTATAGAAGCGAAGAGGTAAAGTCCCGTCCAAATATCTGCAAACTTACCCAGTTCAGAATCGAACTTGCACTCGTCGATTGAGTCTCAGATGGACTTGAACAGCCTTAAAAGCATGGCAACCCGTGCTGGCAACACATTGTACTTTGCCGGTGCAGCAGCCGCTGAGATTGGCAAGGAGAAAGGTTCACAGGCCCTTGCTGCTGCGTCGGGGGCAGCCGCTATCGGTCGTGACAAGGTCATGAGCTCAACAACATTTCAAAGCGCCACAGTCGCTGCCACTGTAGGACGTGAGAAGGTCAAGACATCACAGGCGTTCCAAGTGGCGTCATCAGCTGCCGTTGTTGGCAAGGAGAAGGCCACTGTAGCTGCCTCCACTGCTGCAA